TCGGGATTCCAGGGAACAGAGGGGACCTGCTAGCTGTTTCAGTGAGTACATGCTACTCACAGCTCCCCACGAGCGCATCTTAGCCGAGTGCATAAACTCAGAGTTCCAACGAGGTGGTGTCTGTTTCTCGAAACCAACGCCCCTAAGCCTAATATCGACAAATCCAAGTACTGTCGGTTCCACCGGAGCCATGGACATGTCACGGAAGATTGCATCCACCTCAAGGATATGAATAACGCCTTCGATCCTTACGACCATTTTACCTGAAAAGCGGAGGAAAACAGTGAATTCGACTTCCAAGATCAAATCCACCCTTCCACCGTAAATCAAGTGAAAGGGCGTAGAGAGGGACGAGGAGCCCCTTGACAGACTCTCCCCGAAGCAGAGTAGCAAGCCCCCTCCTCGACGGAGAGGCTCATCCACAAGGAAACACCTGTCGACGCGAGACGGCGAGCCTCCTCCACAGAAAGGCTCCTCGCATGAGAAAACCTCAGTAAACACAGGGAAACTCCTCGACGAACATCTTCTCGCACTTGTGGGAAGCAAGGCTCCCCGAGACCTTCATCATAGGTCTTTGAGGCCTTCATCAGAAACTTCATGAAAGTTTCCAGAATCTTCATGAAAGTTTCCAAAATCTTCATGAACTTTCTGACGTCTTGGTCGAAAACTTCATGAGCTTGACCGAAAAACTCATAGTTCGGCCAGCAAGGCTCCCCGAGACCTTCATCATAGGTCTTTGAGGCCTTCATCAGAAACTTCATGAAAGTTTCCAGAATCTTCATGAAAGTTTCCAAAATATTCATGAACTTTCCGACGTCTTGGTCGAAAACTTCATGAGCTTGACCGAAAAACTCATAGTTCGGCTAGAAACTTCATGAGTTCAGCCGAAAAACTCATAGCCATGCCGAAAACTTCATGAAAGTTGTCAGAAAACTCATGCATCCCCCGTAAACCCTACGAGCTCCTGAGAGAAGTCATCGGAAAATCCATAAAAACTGGAAAAGGAAACAGAAACTTACTTGAAGTAGAAGATTTGGGCGACGGAGAAAGGCTGACGGCGGCGATAGCGATGGATGCAGTCTAGGGAGCGGAGAGAGTTTGAAGAGACTTGGAAGAATTTCTAACCGAAATGAAGGGCAGGTGAAAATGAAGGAGACTTTCCCTCTATTTATAATCCCAGCACGGGAAATGAGGCATCACTAAGCACTCAAGTGCCCCTACGTATAGTCGCCCTACACATTGATTACTCGTGACACGTGGTCCTAGAAGACACCACGCGTGTCCTCTCGACTCCCCATCATGCTCGAGGACCAAGCATGCCCGTTTCTTTCTATCTTCGTCACATAGTCGACCAGAACTCCCGACGATGACATACCCAGGGGAAGGAAGAAGAGATCCAAGATTACGTCTGACAGACAAACCTACCCACGAGCTCCTATCCGGTCGAGTAAGTCACTTATCTTGGCCACGCGTTTTGTCCCCGACTCTAGTGTTTCGGGCATACACGTTTCTCCTCCGGACATGTCCTCGATGTTCAAACTGACTCCTAAGTCATTACTCCTCTTCTTCGAAGCAACATTTTGGGGGGCTCCTATTCTGGACTGGGCCAGAGGCTGGCCCACCGTCGGGCACGGCCTAACCTAGCTTCCCGTTGGGGAGGGCCCAATGAAGGTGCAATCCTCCAACACCCACAGGGAGCTCTCACATGTCTCTCACACAGTCTTCACGTGCCCCCACACGACAATTGACCCAGGGCGAAGACCACGTGCAGGTCTTCCTTACGCCATGTGAGGCCTGACAGTTACTCGTATTGGGCCTTGCTATCCAATCAAGTGCAAAGTAATCGTTGGCCCAACATTGAGGGCACATTATAAATACCATCTTTCACCAGAGGGTCAGGTATTCAATTCTCTATGCACTTTCCATGTACTTGCTCTTTCTACTTCGTCTCTTACTTTGACATCGGAGTACCTTACAGGTACACCCCCTCCTCTTCTCCATCACTGGCGAATTAATGAGTTCACGACGTGTTGCTGACTGCTGATCCGGTAAGATCATAAAGTTATAAACTTCTGTTATAAAATATTATAAATAGACACCGATTAATATCAGTATTAACATGTTATAAACTATGTTATAGTTTAATCTAATATCAGAATGAACAAATACTGCATTAATATAAATATCCAAACACATAAAACCATTTCAATATAATCACTAAATTGAAAGGGTGCACTCCATCTTTCATTATACTTCGTCTTCCACAACCTCTCAAACTCCATCTTCCATCACTAAAGGAGAATCAAGTTCACGCGCGTTAACTAAAAGTTTGTTCAATGTAAGTAGCCTCATCTAATTATTAACTAACTTGTTTTAATATGTTACATATTGTTAAACGCTTTGTAATAACATGCTCTAAATTGTCAAATATGTTGCTGTTAAATGTAACAGATATGTCAAACTGTTATAACATGTCGTAAATTGTTAAATACATTGCTGTTAAATGTAACAAACATGCTGCCAATTATTACATGTTGTTAAATGTTGTTATAGCATGTTGTAAACTGTCAAATATGATGTTGTTAAATGTAACAAACATGTTGTCAATTGTTATATGCTATTAAATATTGTTATAACATGTTGTCAATTGTCAAATCTGATGTTGTCAATTGTTACAAACATGTTGTCAAATCTGTTGCTGTTAAATGTTACAAACAATTATTACATGTTGTAACATGTGTCTATTCTTTTCTTTTTTATCATAATAGAATTTGAAAGCACATAAACAATAACTTGCAACAGAGACTGAAAGCTTCAACTTAATGTTTATTTGAAGGAGGTAAGTGTGAATTTAAGTTATCAAAATTTTTATGACTCGAATGTTTTTTGGTGGAAGGAGAATTGGAATAGGTTTAAAGAGTTAGTTATCTTTATTGGCTCGTGATTTGTTAGGCATCTCTATTACTACACTTGCATCTGAATCTGCTTTCAGTATTGGTTCGATCATTCTAAACAAATATAAAAGTCGCTTGTTGTTGAAGAATGTATAAGCATTGATTTGTACTTGCAATTGGCTTCACGGTTTCAATAGTTTTGGTACATAATCAAGTATTAAAATTTCTTTTAATATTTTGTAATTTTTTCAATATTGTTAATTTAGTTACTTACACTTAAATTATTTTATAGATGTAGTGGGTGATGATGAAGATAATGATGATAGAAGCTTGGCAAAAAAGTATTACAACTGAAGCATTATTTATTCATGATGTAGATGAAGATTAATTACTGTATCTTTTATGTTTGTGGAGATTTTGGATACTTTGGTGTTAGATTAAACTATTTATGACTTCTTTCATAACTTTTGTTGAATTTGTGATATTTAAGGTTTGTTGAATTTAATTAGTGGATGTACGATAATGATAGTGTTCTTTTATGCAATGCAAGTGTGTTTATACATATATATTATTTAGCAATGATGTTATTAGATTTTGGTAGAATTAGAATGTATGAATATCTTTTTGAAATTATATCATGACTAAAAAAAAATTAAAGAAAATCGCGAGTCTACCCGTATGCCCCACATGCCCATCATTAAATGGGGCGGACCTAGTACGTGAGACTGCAACTCTACCTCTGACCGTTCCATTTTCTTGTGGGCTTCTGCAGGACGAAGTTAAACGCAACAGACCTAAACGAAGCATGCATACCTATTTGCCACTCCTACTTGAGGGACCTCGTACCAAACACCTTAAATGAATCAACGAAGGCCTGTACGAAAAAGAGTACCTTAGAATGTGGAACCAATAGCTATTATAATCAAACAAGTCATTATCAATAATGTAAAAAATATTTTCACATGTAATCTGATTTAAATTAAATAATATTAGTATTTAATCAATAAAAAAATAATTATTTTAATTAAAATATAAAAAAAATACAAACAAAAAAAAAGATGCACTTTTAAGTGAATCAATGGAGACCTATACAAAAAAGATATAGAGAGAGTATCTTGGAGTGTGAAACTAATGGCTATTATGATCAAACAAGTAAAAAATATTTTTGCACGTAATCTGATTTAAATTAAATAATATTAATATTTAATTAATTTTTTCTAAATTAATTAATTATTTTAGTTAAAATATAAAAAAAAATCACACAAAAAGATGCAGCATATGAATTGACGCCCAATGTAGGCGCCAATTTGAGAACACCTCAATCCAATTGCCTTGAGCTCTATACAGAAAAAAAATTATTTAAAACATAGATATTTTAGAATATTTAGTGGAAAGATGGTTATTTTAGTATTATTGTTGAAAAATATGATTATTTAAAAAAATCAAATGGTGTTTATAAAAATAAAAATAAAAAGTGTTGTAATTACCTAATCAATACTTTGGTTGTTTCAAATATCAAATTCGTTTAAAATATGTGAAAATGAAATTAAGAAAAATAAAACTAACTAACTTATTCTTATGACTTTGATTTATAATAATTCAAATTAAAATATTTTTCAATGATAAATATCAACTCTAAAAACGTCATTCTTGATAAGAATTAATAATTAAATAATGTTTTTTAATCTTAAACAAGAAAGTTTAGTCAATGGAATAGTACTACACATGAAAGAAGAAAAGTTACATAAATATATCAATTCTACATATGAAATTCAGGTAGTTCATTTCTTAGCAAAGTTCAACTAAAGATAAAGGGCTCTACAATTGTTCTTGTCTTAACCACAAGATGCATTACCAAGCCTATTAAATACAGTACATGAGATTGCCACCACCACAGACCATTTTTGCAGATCAAATGGGTTACAAGTGACAGAAATATGGTTTACATTGCCATTTCCTCTCATCCTAATAATAGGAATGACAACTATAATAATAAGTTTTCACAGATGAAATTTACATTACCTTACTTTCCTCCTTGTTTGATTTTAGAATCCATAATTGACCCTTGATTGTGGATTGCTCGTCCAAAGAAAAATATCATGTGATCTACTTTATTGTGATATATCGATTTGTACCGTGTTTGGCCCAATGGTCTTTAAGGTCAACTGGGTGTGAGAGATCATGTCCTTCAGCTGCGAGCCGGCTAAGCAGTTTATTAAAAGCACTTCCACTCATTTTCCTACCACCTACTCGTGCATGCCTTTTGTTGGGCACTGCTGGAAGTGGATACACCGATAAAGTGGTTGTACAACAAGCAGATTGCCAACCTCCATTACCCCATTTGTAGCACTGTCTCAGAACACCGGTACAAGAGCACGCTGGTGCTGGCATGGTTGAATCATCGTATGCAACTTGATTCAGTGCCAAGTCTTGGGGTTTCCAATCAGCCTTTGAGACCACTAACTGCTTGTTAAGTTCATCACTTTCATTTATAATTTCCTGACTACTCTTCCATTCAAGTGCTTTGTCATTGGCAAACATTGTCTTGTTTAAATCTTCACCCTCCTTCTTAACCTTTCTATTAGTTTTTGGAGTCTTCTTGTTGGGTGAAACAGACTTACTTTCCTTTGGTCGTTTGGCCCGCCTAGGTGGTTTCCCAACCTCTGAAGGAATAGGTGATTCTGGGAGGGCATTGGTTGTGGGCAATTCTCGCGTGCCGTAAGAAGAATCCCCCATAGTAGGCAATTGGTTTACCTGTTGCGGAAGATGATGTATATGCTTAACTCCCCGTGAAATTTGACATCCTGGAGGGCATGATGACATACCGCCATTAGCCAAAGTGTTTTCTCGAAACTGAAGGGTTGCTATTGCATTGTCTCTTTCCATAAGTGCGTTATTTCGTTCCGCAATTGCATTATCCCGCTGTAGGAATGCTATGTCACGTTCTGCAAGTGCTGCTTTTTTCTCGGAAAGGGCCAGATTTCTTTCTTGAATAGCAGCATCTCGTTCAGCCATGATTGCCATAATCTGCTTCATGGAAGGATGCTGGTGCTGATGTTGTTGCATCAACCACTGCAATAGCAATTTTGAGAATAATATTAGTAGAGAAATCACCTTTGTTACGGCTAATATGCATCACTTTTAACAACTATCATGTTCATGCAAACTTCAATTTATTTCTATATACCTGTCCCTGAGCAGATTTATATTGATCTGCTTTGTGCCTTCCATTTTCACGATCATCCATCAGAATTAACAAATGGTAGTAAAGCTAAAGATTGACTATAAGCCTCCTAATCCCACATCCAACTTGGCTAATCAAGCAATAATTTGCTAGAAGTCCTGAATATCATCAATTAAGGAACTAATCATATTTTTATATTGACTTTGTTATAGAATCTCCTTCCTCCTGTGTTTCTTGAGGCGTGGAAGGTGGAGGAAATTTTTCTACCAATAACTCTAACAAAGAATAGAGGAGGAAAAGGTTATAGCGCTTACCATGCTTATACATAGAGACTATGAACTCGGTGACTGAATCAGAATCAACTCTTGAACAAGATTATCCCTGCCGAAAAGAAACAGAAAAATTATTTGAGCTGGTCTACAATGAAACACAATGTTCCAAAATTGCAATTAATATCAGCTATAATTAAAACTCAAATTTAAAAGCTCAATGACTATCATTGATGAAAGAAAGAAAAAGGAAATAAATAGATAATCACTAAGTGCATACTGAAAATATGGCAGTTTGCAAATGAATTCAAATTACTAACTATCGTTCTGAATCAATAACACTTTTATTCAAGCAAAAGGAGCACATTCAAGAGTTACAAAAATGACAGAGTTACTATCTTGATTATTTAGTATATTTATAAATTTGATTTCCAAACATCCATGTAAACAGTTCTGCACAAACAATCAGGAAGAGGTGAGAGAAAAGGCATAAAAGTATACTAGAAAAATGGAGCAATTGCACTAGCTAGGTAACAAGATCCTTGTTTGATCTAAAAATGCTAAAGTGATCATGATAGCACAGAATACAAGAAAATTATTGCATAACTAAATGAGAAGAAAAAATAACAATACAAGGTCAATATAAGTATGTTAAGAGTCTCACAGCAGACAATATAAGGCCTAGAAAATATGTTTATAAGCAGGGACAAATCCCCACCTTACAAGCCGGTATTCCATGGGTGAGTTAGGCCTAACCTACACATTCTAAGAAAGTACATTCTTTTGTAGCTTATTATCAGCTTCCATCAAAGGTCAATAAGTTAAAACTATCTCAAAACTCAGTCAATGACAGTTGACCTAGTCTTTGCAATTAGAGAATTTTACTAATAACAGAAGCCATAACAATGAGCTTCATCTCATATGAATCAAACAACAACTCTAAACACCCACACACGAAAACTGGCCAACTAACAACCCATATTTCCATGTGAAAGCAAAAATGAACAAAACAAATTTAAAAATGCCAAACATTATAAGCTACCATAGATAAAATCCTGAAAAAAAGTGATAGTTCTGGAAATTGAAAAATGGAAACTAGAAAGAAAGAAAGCCTTTCAAAACTAAAAGGGGCAAAAAAAAAAAAAAAGAGACTTAGTCAAGGTTTTGAACCTGTGTGGTCTTACTTCCCTAAATCTTAGTATCTCTCTCCCTGTACTTTCAACTACAAAGTACGGAGGTCAACGAATCGAATCCGAAGCGAAAACACATTTCCGCTATTTTCTCAATTTTAACAACAAACAACCAAAACCCTCGATCTCAACCACAGTAAAAACCCCATAATTCGAAATCAACAAACAGATTCTCAAACAACGCATCCAAAGGACAAAATAAAACAATTCAGAAATAAACGTTGCAGTTAGAACAATAATTGCAGAAAAATGAAACTACTAAAAATGCAAGCGAAGGAGAAAAAATGATGAATAATCGAAGTGGAAATAGAAGTAAGTGATGAGAAACATAGTAGAAAGAGATGAAGCTTACAAAGAAGAAGAAGGAAATTGAAAACCCTAATGTTCGCTGCAGAAAAATGAAAAATGAATTGGGTTTGATAGTTGTTTTTAGCTATGCGTTTTCTTGTCTCGTTTCTCACTTGACAGAGCGTTGTTTGTGACGTATGTGTGAGTTTTTTTACTCGCTTTTTATGTTAGGCAGGAAAAAAAGTGATTTATTTCTGTAAAGTGAAACATCCAAGTCTAACAATGGAATCGCACATGAGATTCGTGCGGGCTAATTAAAAAAATATATTTTTTCACATTTAAAAAAAAGTTTAATCTTTTTAAAAAGAAAAAAAAGTTTAAATGCATTTTAATCATCTAATTTGATGATGTTTAACTTTTAATTCTCCATTTAAAAAGTAGTTTTTTAGTTTTCTTTAGTTTTGCCAAAGTAATGATTTGAAAATATATTATATATTTTTAATGATTTGGTATTGTTGAGTAGGATTTTTTTTTTTAATAATTAAAGATTAAGTAATTTAATTAATTTTTTTAAATATTAGATAATTAAAATTCTAAAAACACACACATTTGGATTTAAGAAGCTCGTTTCACTAAACTATAATCCAATATCTCATTCAAATGTTAAATAAGTGAATCTTATATAAACATTAAATTTTATTGTAATAAAAATGATGTGAAAATAGTTGAAAATATTTTGTTGCTTCGTCTTGTTTCAACCTCCTTATGACCATGAATTGTTCATCATTTTCAATCACAAAGAAAAATTACTCATCATTTCCACCAAACAATTTCCTGATTTGAACATGGGGAAACAATTTGAATCACGTGGGTCATTATATATTATTTGTCTCTTGTTAATTCACATGAAATATAATTGAAAGTGAATATATTATTTTTGTATTGTTGTGGCTATTGAGCAATATATTCCTGCAATTCACGTGAAAATTAATTGATGTATTATTTATTAACTTGTGAGCAAGAACTTATTTCATGAATTGATCATGGCTACCACCATGAGTAAACCATGATAAAGATAAAGATAAAGATGGTGATAAACTAGGACCATGAGTTCCATTTTAGACTCTAACCACTTATTCGATTCAGGTCCAATGATGGTTCTTGACAAATCATAGGTTCATCATCATCCATTACTAACAAGAACAACCTTATGAGTATGCATTTCAATCAATTGTCCACTGCATTTAATCTCATTTCAATGCAGTCGTCGTACACACAAACTAATTAAGAGTAATAGTTAATAATGTCATTTCAACGCAGTCATACACACACAAATAATCTTCAGCAATGCATAATCGACTCCAACAGAAGCATGCTCTAGTTAATAATAGTATTTTTTTTTACATGAAATGTATGATGAGGTGTAGTTCATCATCAAAACAGCATTATGTAGGTGTATATCACACTGATTTGTAGTCTCATATGTCAATGAACACCACATGTCACAAGCTCAAAGTTGTTGATGATCGTTTCTAATTTGTTGCTGATATATTTCATCGTCAAAATAGTTGTCCTTCTTCGTCTTATTTATCCTAGTCATCTTCTTGCTTTGTTAGAAGAAACAAAGATTGTCTACAATATATGATGCGGCAGCATACACGTGATGTGATAGGTATGTGAGTTAAAGTTGACACGACACTTAGAAAAAGATATCTTTTGGCATAAATATTGAAAAATAGTCGCATTTCCACTAATGTTAAATATCTTAAAATGTTTATCAATAAGATCATTTCTTCATGACTAATAATGATACGTCCAGGATGAGCTACAATAGGTGAGGTAGCTTTCTTGGACAACTGGTGTATCAGAACTCATCTTGACTCACATGAAAATAAACTCCATGTATGTTTCTCTTCATGATTATTAAAGTTAATGTAAATGTGCATGTGCAAATGGTGAAACTATAATGGTTTTTAATATGAAGTAGTTTTTAGCAATGCAGCAGTAATGTTGGAAGAGGAAGAAGATGATTACCAGGAAAAGAGAGATTTAGCCTGAGCATTGTGCTTGTGAAGTGGTGGAAAATAAATAGGATGATTGTATTGAGTCTCGCATTATTTTGTTTGAAAACAACCATAGTGTTTATAATATCTTAAAGAATATCTTAAAGAAGTGGTGGAAAATATCTTAAAGAATTTAAAAATGTTGTTAGAATATGGGTCTTAAAGCCCATAAAGTTTCATTTAAAAATTTTAATTAATTAATTTATTAAAAAACAATTAATATTAATTATCAATAAAAATTTATATTAAATGATTTCTAAATAAACTTAAATACAATAATTAATTTATTAATTAAAAAAATTAAATGATAAATTAGTATATTCATCAAATTCATGTCATTAAAAATATTTTTTTTTTGTCATATTCGTCACTGCCACGTTTGCAAAATTGAAGGGAGGCCAGCCAAATTTAAGGGATGTAAAGTTGGGTGACCAAAAAGCTAGTTTTTAAAACGGAGGAACTAACAGTTAAAAATTATCAAATTAGGGGGACCAAAAGTGCATTTAAGCCAAGGAAAAAATAATTATATTATAAAGAGAAAGAAAACAAATGAATTGTATGATACTAATAGGAGGTTTTACTTAACCCTATCTAACTAAAATAGAACGAGAAAGGAAAAACTATCTAAAAAGAAAAAATAGAACGACAAATAAAGTGGAAAAAAACCAAAAAGGAGAAAATATTCATCGACCAGTTAGGCAAATTTGAATAAAGGTAAATCAAAATGATTCTTGAAGAATTCCTCTCTTACGTAGAAAGGAAAACTATCTCATCATAAGGAGTCCAATAAACTATGTATGTGATTTGCTAATTTGTTTATGCAATTGCTTTCCTCTTTCTGTATATGTGTATATGTTAGATTCGTCTAAATATTATGTGATTAAACTATTTGTTCTAGAGATTCCATGAGACTAAATCCTCATTTTCCAAAACTTCAATGTCAGTTTTATAGTCACTTTCTATCTAGACATTATGCTGACCTTTTAAGTGTAGCTTGTTATGTATATAAGAAAATTGAGACCAACTCTGCTTTTAAAACATTTAAATCACCTAAGTTCGCATGGAATCAAAGTTTATAACCTCCGTGTTGGTCATGAGCTATTGCCCATTTTATTGCTCTTAAATCTTTTTACTAAACTCAACCCACACTACACTTGTTTTTCTTCAAATCACCATCATGATTTTTGGGGTATTTCTGTATCTTTTATCTATTTGTATGTTATCTACTGTCTGGATTTCTTGCCTGTGATTGG